CCACTCTCCTCCCATAACACTGGGGCAGGGGCCCTCCCACTGAGGCACAACCTACCCTGCGCCCCAACTCCCCGGCTGCTCTCTGTGGGGTGCCCTGGGATGGGAGGGAGGGTGGCAGCCCCAGGAGGGGCCCACGATCTAGTTTGCATCCTCACCCCAGACTTGCTGTGTGACTTGGGAGAGTTGCTTAACCTCTCTGGGCCCAGGGCTTCTCACCTCTGTGGTGGGAGGTGCTCTCCCCCCATAGGCGTGAAATGAGAATTTGCATCAGGGTGTAAGAGTGGGTGCTCTGCCCCGCCCCCCACTGTGCTCCCCCACCTGCCATGAGACCCCATGGACAGGCCTGGGGTGGGGGAGCTGGCGGCAGGGGTCGGAGAGGGACTCCCTGGGGACCGCCCACCAGCTCCTGCCGCCTGGGCCCAGGACTGGAGCCCCGAAGTCCGTCTAACACAGACCAAGTCACTGCCCCTCCCCCGCTGCGGTGGGGGCGGGGGCCGCCCCACTTTTCCAGGAGGAAGGGAGCTCAGGAAGGAGGAACCGCAGCCCCACGCCAGCTTCCCTGCTGTCGCATCCGCGCTTTTAGCCTTTCTTGGTTCGGGGGCCCAAGGCTGACCGTTCGTAAATGTCTTTCTGATTTTTCGTGCTCACCGTAGGAAACGGGACAACCCAGAAAAGTATGAAAGGACAACTGTTAATGGCCAGAAGCCACCAGCAGGACAGTCCCCCCCCGGCCCTCCCCCCGCCCCCGCCGCTGGTCTGTGCCGGGGAGGGCAGCGCTGCTGGGGTGACCGCCCCCCCCCCACACCGCCTGTGCTGTGCCTCTCTCCCTTTGAAGCTGAGTTCTGGGGCAGCAGCCTCTCCTCGAAGCCCGGGGCCCAGCAGGGCGGCCCTGGGAGCGCGCGGGCGGGGTCACGGCCCACTCCGCGCCCGGGCTCCAAGGCACCTCCTGGGCCCTCCAGCGGGGCGGTGTCCCGGGGCGCACAGGGCTCCACCCCGCCCCACTGCCCGGCCCAGGCCAGGTCGGGTGCGAAGAGCCCCGGGAGGGTGAGATGGGTGCCCCCCCCCGGGGCCCCTGGCATCTGCTCGTCCGCTCCGCACACACGGCCCCGCCGGCCGCCCAGCGCAGGCTTGGCAGGGGTCTCTGCCCCCCGTGCTGCCTGCCTCCTGGGTCGGGCCGGTGGGCCCTTCGTGCACGGAGCAATAGACAGGAGCCCACAGCTGGGGAGCCCGCCCCCCCCCTCCCCGCTGGGGCTCGCGGTGGCCCACAGCAGTCAGGGCACACACAGGTGAAGCCGCCACTGGTGGGACTCGGTGCCACCGACAGGCAGACCCTGCAGGGCAACAGGCCAGACTGGCAGCCTGGCAGGTCCCCTTTCCCGCCCGCCCCCTGCCCACACGAGGAGCGATCCTGCGGGCGGGGCGGCCGCCATCCTCTGTGCCTGGAGCCCACGGCGGGCCGGCGCCCCGTTCTGAGCAGCTCTGTCCTCTTCACCCGCAGGCTGCACAGCCCCTGGGTGCCCTCGTGCCTCGGGCAGCCCCGCGTGCTGCAGGGCCGGCTGGCCAGGTCCTCACCCTCGCTCTGGGACAGGTAACATGCCTGTGTCTGCCCGGCTCCGTGGTGTCTTTGCGTCCGTCCCCAGACGTCTGTCCCATGTCTGCGTCCACTCCCCCGGGCCAGGGGGCGGCCCGGAGTGGGCAGCGTCCTGCCCACTGGCATCGCCATCCGCTCTGTGCCGCGCTCCCTCAGAGCTGGGGCTCTTGTGCCCCCACCGCAGCCCAGCCCGGCGGGGCCCTCCCCCGAGGCCGGACGGGGCTGCCGTGGAGGGCGCCCGCTCTGGGTGAGGCAGGCGCAAGCTTCCCCCACCCCGTCAGGCCAGGGTCAGATCCTGGTTCAAACATCAAGGCGAAGCAGGGTGACCTCGCCAGGCCACGCTCTGCCCGGGGAGGAGGCGACCCCGGTCTGGACGTGCCGAGGACGCCACGCCTCCTGAGTCCCTGCGAAGGGGCTGCTTCCAGACGCCGGGGGCCCCGAACCAGGCCCCACCTGGGAGAGGCACGGGCACTGACCCAGCACGTCCCCAGATTTCCCAGCCTGCGCCCCCACATGTGCCTGCCCAGCACCATCTCTTTTACCCCCTGGGTGGTGGGGGGGCCGTGAGGCCCTGCTCCCGGTCTGTGGACGCTGCGGCGGGTGAGCGTCTCCCGTGTCACACACTGAGCTCAGGCTGAGGCCGGGCAGCACCGCCCAGGTGCCCGCACACCCGGGCCCGCCCCACACCATGCCGAGGAGGGGAGCTGTCCAAAGCTTCAGAGAAGCTGAACCCCAGAACGGTGGTGGGGAAGAGACGAGGGGGGTCACCATGGCCTCCCCGTATCTGACCCGACTGAGGGGTGCGAGGGCATGTGGGCAGCACTGGACTCCCACGGGTGAGGTGCCTGGAGCCCCTCCTGGGAGGCCCACCTGAGGCTGGGCGTGGCGTGGGGGGCCGTGGTACAAGCCAGCCTGGGGCGGTCGGGTCTGCAGAGCTGAGGGGAGAGATGCGGAAAGACAGTGGGGGCACCAGGCGGGCGACCTGGACATCTGCTGTGCTGGAGGGACCCGGAGGCAGGGCCAGGGCCAGGGCCAAGGGGATGGAGGTGCCTGCTGCAGAGGGGGGTGGGCAGGAGTGGGGGGAAGGGGGCCCGGTTGCAGCCAGCCCAGGACTGGCCCAGAGCAGGCTGGGTGCAGGGGGCTCAGGGAAGGGGGAATATTTGAGGGCAGGTGGGGCAGAGCTACCCTCTGGAGGCCGAGGGTAAGCTGAGGCTTGGGCAGGCCAGTTCTCTGGAGCTGGCCACCCGGGAGGCGGGTGGACCTGGCCCAGCAACCCCCAGGTGCCGTGGTATCCTCCTCTGCCTGCCTCGTTGGTGAGCACGTTCCCTTGTGCCTTGTCCCCTTGAGACTGTCGGCTCCGCGGGGCGGGGACCAGCCCGCAGGGAGGGGGGCGGGAAGGAGAGAGAGAGGCGGGTGTGTCGCGGGGTCTTGTGGCCGGGCCACGTGAGGAGTGGACAGTCTGGGTGACGACAGGGTCTGAGCTGGGGCTTCAGGCTGGTGGCCAAGGTGAGGAAGGGAAGGTCACTGGCTCTGTGACCCTCTGTACAGTGGGGTCCCCAGGGGGGCAGGACTGAGAGGAAGGGGCACAGCGAGTGGGGATGAGCAGGTCTCAGCAGAGCCAGGACCAGGAGGCTGGTGGATGGAAGCCCAGGGGTGTGGCTGGGGGACGGGGTGTGTGAGTGGCCCACAGGTGGACAGACAGAAGTCCTCACCTCTTCCCGAGTGTGCAGACCCCGGCCGGGCCCCACCTCCACCCAACACCGTGCCTGTGGCGGGAAGCTACCACCCCACTAGGGAAAAAAGGTTGGGACAAGAGCAGTGGGAGCTGATGCTCAGGTGAAACCAGGAGGGCTGCCTGGAGGAGATCCCCTCCTTGCTTATCATTCTGCATCCTCCATGGAGACCAACTCTGGGGAACGACCTGCCTCCCCCTTCTCTGAGGTTCTCAAAACATAAGTGACTCTTTATTTTTAAAAAATGCAGATCTGGGCAGGAGTCCAAAAATGCTTAATTGAGGTTTGCTTTGCTGGGTGTGCGCCCGAGCAGGTGTGGTTTACACACAGGGCCCGAGACTGACGCTGTCTCTGCCCGAGGAGTGGGAGGAACCCCCCCACCCCCCGCCCAGGGAGGCCCCACAGCACCTTGGCTGAAGCGCTGCTCCCAGGCCTGCTGCACCCAGGTTCTAGCGTGGCACCCTGGGATGTCCTTCCTGGCCCCCACATCTCCAGGTCCCACAGCAAACCCACCAGAGTCACCATGCCCGGTGTGCTGCCTCCGGCCGGGGCCCCACTCACCCGAGGCACTTCTCTGGGTGGAGTTTTTCTCAGGCCCAGGGATCTGCGTCCACAGGGCCAGCTGGCCTGGTGAACAGCAGACGGCGTGGGGGGCGTGGTGTGACGGCAGAGCTCCCGCGTCGCCAGGTGTGGGCTTTGCTCCACTGCAGTGCAGGCGTCTGCTGGGGGACGGGCGCGCCCACAGCTCTGGAGAGCAGCTGGACTTGGCTCCACGTGTGGTGGTGCCCAGATCACTCCTGGTGCCCCTCACCCTCCCACAGCAGTCCCCCACCCTGCAGGTCATCCCCCACTGTTACAGATGGGGGCTCCCGCCAGCACCCCACTGCCGCCTCTGAGTGCTCCGCAGTGAAAGGAAACACACCGAGTCCGCACATGTGCCCGTGTGGATGCCGCCCACAGGTGCTGCCCCTCGGGGTTCCCAGACAGCCCCCGCGGGGCCGCCACACCCCCTCCTGCCTGTGTCCAACTCTAGTTGATGGCAACCAGCCCAGAAGGTGGATTATCCAGTGTCTGTTTCCCAGTCCTGGGACCCCAGAGGACCCACAGTCTGTGGGGGAAATAGAGCGTCGGGAGCTGGATCTGGGACTCTAGACGGCATCTTGGGGAGAGGGGAGCGTCGTTGGAGAGGGGGTGCTGAGTTTCCAAAGCCGTGTGCAGCTGCCTGGGTCTAGGTGGGGCATTGCTGCCCACCCTCTTGGCCTGACCAGAGGTCCCGCGGCCTGCTGGGGCCACAGCCAGTTTGGGGGAGGCAGTCTGCCGTGCTGCCCCGGGCCGCAGCGCCCCCACCCCGGCGCTGTGGAGAAGCAAAGGGGGACAGGATCCTTATAACCTGTGGATCAGGATGTGGGTTTTAAGGATCTGGGGTCCACGCTGTCCTCCGCCGCAGTGATGCTCAGGATTCACTCCTGACCCGGGCGCTGCTGCGGGTCCGAGGGTCGCCAGGGCAGACAGGCTTGGCTCCAAAGCCTCTGACCCTAGGGGGGCTGTGGCTCCGGGACGACGCGGGGAGGGCGCGGTAGTGCGGCGGGGCCCACTGCGCACCTGGGGTGCCCCGGCTGGCGCGCCCGGGTCCCGCACTCAGCGCCTCGGGCCGCCGCCGCCGCGTGTCGTTGCAGCGCGCTGCAGGAGCAGAAGGGCGAGCTGCGCAAGCGGCTGTCCTACACCACGCACAAGCTGGAGAAGCTGGAGACGGAGTTCGACTCCACGCGCCACTACCTGGAGATCGAGCTGCGGCGCGCGCAGGAGGAGCTGGAGAAGGTCACGGAGAAGCTGCGCAGGTGAGGGGCGAGGCCTGGGGCCCCGGACCCCCGACCCACAGAGCGGTGAACCCCACGGGCGCCGTGGCCCTTCCCCGTGGGGAGTCCAGGCTCAGGGAGGGCGAGTCTTTTTTCCAAAGTCGCTCTTGGAGCTGCAGCTGCCAACCCAGAATCTGAGCCCGACCAGGCTGCTGCCAGCAGCAGGCCCTTCCCCCGCGGCCTCCTGGCCCGGCCTGGCCGCTCATTCCCGCCCACGCGTCCCCGTGGGGAGCAGGGTGCCGCCAGCATCACCAGCCTGCCTGACCCACACCCCGGGGCCCAGCGCATCCCGGGGACCCTGCCTGGAAAGCCGGGGCTCTGTCGGAGATGGGCTGGGCTCAGACCTGCCCCGAGCCGCGTGGGCCTGGGTTGGGGGCGGTGTGCCCAGACCCCAAGCTCTCAGTCCCGTAGCCAAGCTTTTCTAAAAGCATTTCCCGTCAGCATATTGAAAACGGGTGTCTTCCCGAGGCGCGTCACACACTCCCCGGCAGAGAGAACTCTGCGTTAAATATTGATAAGGGTTCGGGTGGGGGGCAGGGCTGACCCCTCTGGGAGTCCTCAATCCGCTGGGCTTTTTCAAGGTCACCATCGAGCTGGTGGGACAAGCTTGGGCCCCGCGGTCAGAACTCAGTTAAGGGCCCTGCGTCAGGCAGCTCTAGCCTCAGTTTCCCCATCGGTGAGGCGGGGGTAATAATGCTACACGCAGGTTGGCAGAGGGCCCACGCTGCCCCAGGTCCCCTCCATCATGGCGCACGCACCCGGTCCTGGGGGGATGCTGGACACGTGTCCCCACCCCCCACCAGCGCAGCTTGCTCGGGGTGCCCGGGGCCGTGGGCACAGTGCAGCCACGTCTGTTCTTGACTCTGACCCCCGGCCCGCTCTGTTAGCACCGGGTGTGAACGGAGCACGCTGGCCGTGCAAGGACCTGGCAGGGCCACTCACAGACCCAGGGGGTCACTGGCCCCGGCTGTGGAGCTCAGAGGCGGCCCCGCGGGTCAGCTGTGTTCTGCTGTGTGTGGCCCCGGTGGGCCTGTGTGCAGCCTGGCCCTGCTCAGTGGGCTGTGGTGGGGGGTAAGGGGTGGCCCTGGCACTGCCCTGACCCGGCTGCCCTGCTGCAGGATCCAGAGCAACTACATGGCGCTGCAGAGGATCAACCAGGAGCTGGAGGACAAGCTGTACCGCATGGTGAGGCCACATCCGGCACCCGGCTCTGGGGCCGTAGAGGGGCTGGCCTGGCTGCCTTCCCGCCCGCCCGCAGGAGCGGCCCCGGGTCGCAGGTGCCCTCAAAGCATGGGAGCCATAGGTTTGGGGCTGCCCCGTGTGGACGCGGCCTGCAGGCGTGTGAGCGGGCGGTGGAGAGCACCGGCTAGGGGTGTGTGGCCCCAGCCAGCTGGCCCCTGACCTTTCTGGGGTGAATAAGGGAGACCATGCTTTGCCCACCCCAGAGGGTGGGGACACTCACCATCTGCAGGCAGCCTGGGTGCACCCCGTCTCTGCTGATGGGCCGGTGGGATCGCAGCTTGGGGGAGTGGACATGGAGGCTGTAGGCCTCCTGGGCACCCCTGAATTCAAAGCGTGGACCCAATGCCAGTGTCTGGCTGGCAGGTTGGGTGCCTCCCCGTCGCTGGGGTGGACATTCTCTCTCTAGTTGGGTTATAGCTCATTTTGCTTTCAAAAATCACGTGGGCTGCCAAAGGGGCTGTCCGTGGGGGCTAGAGCCCAGGCCTCTCACTGACCACCTCCTTCTGCCCCCGGCCAGGGCCAGCACTATGAGGAAGAGAAGCGAGCGCTAAGCCACGAGATAGTCGCCCTCAACAGCCATCTGCTGGAGGCCAAGGTGACCATCGACAAGCTGTCAGAGGACAACGTGAGTGCCAGGCCGGTCTGACCCTGAGGTCCATGCCCAGCCGCTGCAGCCCCCGCTCAAGAGCTGGCACAGGGAGAGCTGGATGGACAGGCAGCCGGGGGGCCTCCAGCAGGACAGGAGCTGCGCCATCAGGGGCGCCTGCCCAACGTCCCACAGACCCCTGTTGGAGGGAACGGTGCCAGGAAGGGACACTGGTTTCCGATTTCCCACTGCAGGCTCGGGCAGCCGCCACTCGGGACTCCTCCTTCACCAGCCCAGAGGCGAAGTCCACCCCTGGCATGAGAGCTGTGCGGCCAGCCGCCCAGGGGGCCAGATTTCAGGGGTCCCCTGAGGCAGGTCCAGCTGCCCTCCATGGCCCCCGACAGCTGACCACTAGCTAGTGTCTGCTCCGTGCCAGACCCTACAGAGCTCTGAGGGGAGAGACGCAGCAACGACGTGACAAGAGTGCAGGGTGCCAGGCAGGCAGGGCTGCAGGGGGCGGGCAGCCGCAAGTCGTTGGTGTCCACCGCGTGCTGGGGAGAGCACCCCTCCAGCCAGGACCCCACGGCGAAGGAGGGCCTGGGTACTCAGAGCAGCCAAGGACCAGAGTTGAGGGGCAGGGGGTGCCCGGAGCCCGAGGAAGCCTGATGGGGATTAAGAGGGTGACATGGGGCACGGGAGGGACCCGCTGCTGTCACCCTCACGGGGCTCACACGTCGAGAACAGACCACGGGGAGGAGGCGGGCGCCGGACACCGAGGGGCGGCTGTTCGTCAGCCCGAGGCGGGGTGGGGCGGGTCGTTACACTTGGAGACGGGAGCAGCGGGAGCAGCAGGGCCGACCGAGGTTCAGAGCGTGGGGGTGACAGAAAGGGAAGGGGATCCCAACTGCAGGGTGTGGAGGCCATTTCCCGGGCGGGTGCCCCAGGGAGGGCAGGGTGGGGCACTGGTGCCCCAGGGAGGTGGTTCCAGCAGGCACTGGACGTCCGTGCGAAGCTGGCCTGGGGTGGCCGGACCCCAGGGTCTGGCGTTTAGGCAGAGGTGGGCGCAGCGGAGGTTTCAAGCTACAGGTAGACTTGCCGGCGTGAAGAGGGGAGGCCGAGGAGTCGCGGAGGGGCCGGGAACCCAGGTTCCCGCCATGTGCAGACCAAATTGGGGCGCAGCCTGAGCATGAGAAGGCAGAGGTGAGGGAACCTCTGGGTCGGGGAGGGGAGCAGGTGCACAGGCCTTCAACAGCCCAGCCTGAGCCGGGACACTGGTGCCAGGACACTGGTCCTGGTGGAGCGGGGGCCGGGGCGTGGGCCCGTCGCAGGCCCAGGACTGGTGTCAGAGCCCCGGCTGCAGGGGTCCGGGTGTGGCGGGAAGGGAAGGCCCAGCCACAGGCACATGCAACAGAGATTTTCCAAAGACGCAACCAAAGCCCCTCAAGTCCTACTGTTTGCATCTGTTTTCAGCTCAGGAAGCTGAGCCTGTCCCCACCTGGACCTGCTGTCACACCGGCCACCTGTCCCCACTCACCCTGCTCCCTGCCCAGCCCTGCAGCCAGGCCCCACCACATCCAGGCCCCACCCTGAGAATGGGGGAGGGGTGAGCAGCGGCTCCTTCCTCACCCCTCTCCACCGAGGGCTCTCCGGTGTGGTCTCCACCCCTCTCCGGTTTGGCCCTGGGCCACCCAGGCCTCAGGGATCCCAGGGCCCTTTAGCACTCCCCACCTGTGGGATGGTCCCATCTGGGGCGACAGCAGGGCCTCCTGGCAGGGCACCCGCCACGCACTCGCAACTGCAGGTCAGAGTCGAGGCCCCCAGAGGGTCCTGTCCCGCCCACCGCACCATGGCTCCGCCACCGGTTTATGTGCTGGCCACCGGGCACGGACGGGGCAGCAGGCCCCGGCAGGGGGGGGCCCCCCGCGCCAAGCGCCTTCTCTTGTCTTCTAGGAGCTCTATAGGAAGGACTGCAACCTAGCGGCCCAGCTGCTGCGGTGCAGCCAGACCTACGGCAGGGTCCATAAGGTGTCCGAGGTAACGTGAGCCCCCCCACAGGCCCGCCCCCAGGACCTCTTTGCTGTCCTTTGGTACAGGCCCTACCCAGAAGCCACCCCACCCTGGAGGGGAAGGCGCTGGGTGAGCCCCTTGCCCTCCTCGCTCCTGCGGCAACCAGGCCTTTCCGAGAGAGGGCGAGGGGCCGGCCCGCGTACCCCCTCACCCAGCCATGCGGCCCCCGCCTTTCCTCAGAGGCTGCGTCTTGTCCCTGCCCCACGCCCCACCCACTGAGCACTGAGGTGGCGGCATGCGCCCGCGGGAGCCTCCCGGAAGCCCTGCCCTCTGGTTTGGCTCAGTCACCAACATGGCCTGTCCCAGAGAGCACAAACCCAGCTCCACGCGGGGCCCAGCAGCGCCGCAGGACTCAGACCAGGGCCCCAGCCGGCCAGGGTCCTCCCTCCCTTGCCCTCCCTCACCCAGGCCTCCGTCCACACCCCGCCCTGGGCCTGGGCCACGCCTGAGACACTCACAAAATAGATCAAACAGTAGCGGGATGCCCCCGGGCACAGGCGCGCGCCCGGCCCTCAATCTTTGTTGCATCTGTTTCTGAGTCTGTGTTGTTCAGGGGCTCCCAGGCCACGTGAGCGGGTGGCTGGGTGGGGGCAAGTCAGCTGCTCGGGGGACAGGAAACGAGGGACCCGGGTCAGACCCCGGTTCCAGCCGCCGGGCTCTACGGGCCAGCCGGTGCGGCTGGGGCGGGGGGACTGGGCCCGGGTCCCGGTACACCTGGGAGCCAGCCTGGCCTAGCGCCTGCCGGTGTGATGGGAGAGGAGCGGGGCAGTCCCCCTTCCTCGCCCGCCGCCCGGCTGACCGCCCCCTGTCCCGCCACCCCCGCACCCTCCCGTTCCAGCTGCCCTCGGACTTCCAGGAGCGAGTGAGCCTGCACATGGAGAAGCACGGCCGCAGCCTGCCGTCCCCGCTGTGCCACCCGGCCTACGCCGACAGCGTGCCCACCTGTGTCATCGCCAAGGTGCTGGAGAAGCCGGACCCCGCCAGCCTGTCCTCCCGCCTGTCAGACGCCTCCGCCCGGGACCTGGCCTTCCGCGACGGGGTGGAGAAGCCGGGGCCGCGGCCCCCCTACAAGGGGGACCTCTACTGCAGCGACACGGCCCTCTACTGCCCCGAGGAGCGGCCGCGCGACCGGCGGCCCAGCGTGGACGCCCCCGTGACCGACGTGGGCTTCCTGCGGGCGCACAACTCTGACAGTGCGGCCGAGGACGACGAGGAGGCCGAGGCCGCTGCCTTCCCCGCCGGCTTCCGGCATGAGGCCTTCCCCGGCTACGCAGGCTCGCTGCCCACGTCCAGCTCCTACTCCAGCTTCAGCGCCACGTCCGAGGAGAAGGAGCACGCGCAGGCCAGCACGCTGACCGCCTCGCAGCAGGCCATCTACCTGAACAGCCGCGACGAGCTCTTTGACCGCAAGCCGCCCGCTGCCGCGGCCGCCTACCAGGGCAGCCCACGCTTCGCCAAGGCCACGGCCACGGCCACAGTGGCCGCCCCGCTTGAGGCCGAGGTGGCCCCCGGCTTTGCGCAGACCATGTCCCCCTACCCAGCGGAGTCCTTCCGCTTCCCAGCCTCCCCGGGCCCCCAGCCAGCCCTGATGCCCCCCAACTTGTGGAGCCTGCGAGCCAAGCCGGGGTCGGCGCGGCTCCCGGGGGAGGACCGGCGTGGCCAGTGGCGGCCGTTGAGCGTGGAGGACATCGGCGCCTACTCCTACCCTGCCACTCCCGCCGGCCGTGCCTCGCCCTGCAGCTTCTCGGAACGTTACTACAGCAGCGGGGGCAGCCCCAGCAAGCAGGCCGAGGGCCGCGCCAGCCCCTGTACGCCAGCTACCAGGCCGACAGCTTCTCGGAGGCCGAAGACCTCGCGCCTGGCCACCTCGCCGAGCCCTGCTTCCTCCGGGCCGGCGGCGACCTGAGCCTCAGCCCCAGCCGCTCTGCCGACCCGCGGCCCAGCTACGCGCCCAGCGAGGGGGACGGGGAGCGGCTCGGGGTGCAGCTGTGCGGGCCGGGGGGCAGCCCCGAGCCTGAGCCCACCCTCCACAGTTCCAGGGACTCCTTGGAGCCCAGCTCCATGGAGGCCTCCCCGGAGATGCACCCTGCCGCCCGCCTCAGCCCCCAGCCGGCCTTCCCACGGACTGGTGGCTCCGGGGGGCTCAGCCGTAAGGACAGCCTCACCAAAGCCCAGCTCTACGGAACCTTGCTCAACTGAGCGCCCGCGGGCAGGCCGCGGCCACCCCGCCACCGCCAAGGCCCGGCCCGGCCACCCAGGACCCCTCCTCCACCCGAGCGCTGGAGCCTGCCCGGAGCTCTCCCTCCACCGTCTGGTCGCCCCAGCCCCCACAAGGGACTCCCCTTTGGAACGTTTTACACACACATCCTGCCCAACCTGAGATGAGAATTCCCCCCTTTTATAAAGTGAAACTATTTTTATAGCGAAAAAGGGTCTTTCTTAACGCACTTGCCTCCAGCTCCCTGGATGGCAGCCTTGGCGTTTTCAACACAAAGCTCCTTTATTTTTCTGGTGAGGGCACGTGGGGCCTGCCCCTTGGGAGGGCAGGATGGTGTCCTGGGGAGACCCAGCTCCCCACGGGGGAGACACCCCAGCCAGCCAGTGACAAGGGAACCCCGAAGCTCTGTCTACCAAGAGGGGAATTGGAGCGGTGAAGGGATGTGACCTGTGTTTAAACTGTCCTCGCAGCGTGGCCGACGCCCCGAGCTCTTCCGTGGTCCGCAGTCCCGAGTGGGGCCGGTGCTCGTCCCCCAGCGTCCCGCTCCCCGGCACCACCTCACCCTACCTCAGAAGCGATGAGGCCTCTGCCCCTGGCCCGGTGTTGCTTTCTGTCGTCTGCATGCATGCCCCGTCTCCGTCAGTGCTGTATTTTGCATTCGTTAATAAAAGACAAACGTGGAAAGAATCCAGGTTGGCCTGTTTCTTTCCCCGCTGCCTTTTGGCCCCGGGTGGACTGTGGCCCCGGGTGGCCTTCCCTCGCTATGGCCACGGCGGGCTCCTGAGCCCCACTGAACACCCTCACCCGAGATGTATGGGGGCTACACCTGCGGGGACAAGTCAAATAGGTCTACAAAAATGAACGACAATGTGAGAACGTAAAGTTTTATGAATTAAAAAATAAAGGCAGCCCCGCCCCCACCGCTGCCTTGTCCCGGGCTCGGGTCCTCCCATCCTCTACCCCGGCGTGTCCACCCCGCGCGCAGCGCTGCTCTCCACTCCCTCGCGCTTTCTGGCATCTCAGGCTGCGTCTGCCCAAAGCTGCCTCGGAATCCCGGTCACGCAGCACTGCCGGCGACGGGCAGGCTTCACTCCTCTGCCCCGTCGTCCAAGGGCCTCCCCCTGGGACGCAAGGTTTGCGCATTCCTTGGCTTCATGGGGCGTGGGGCTGGGCCATGGGTCTGTCTGGAGCAACATCTGTCTCTGGCTCTGTCGCTGCTGAAGACCTCCCCCTTGCACCTGGGTCCTCCGCCTTTCCCAGGTGTCTGCCCATGAATTTGTCTTTCTTGGGAGTCCCCAGGGGGTCTTGTAGCTGTGGATCAGCGTATTTCATCGGTTTTGGAAAATCCTCAGCTACTACTGATATTTATTTATTTATTTATTTATTTATTTATTTATGGCCTCCCTGGTGGTGCAAGGGGTTGAGCACAGAACCGTGAAGCCATCCGCAGGCTCTGTGGTGTGAGTTCGATCCCCCAGCTGGCCAGAGAGCTACCCACATGGCACAGCAGACCTCTCCTGCCTCATCTGCTGCTCCCCTCAGCAGTGTATTTCAGTAGATCTGCCTGTTCTGTTCCCCACTCAGAGACTGTCTCGGGTAAATCTGCTCATTCCCACCCCCTGCACCTCTGGCCTGTACCCCAGTTCTTGTATTCATAAATAATAAATAAATCTTTTTTTAAAGATTTATTTATTTTTGTACACAAGAACTGGGGTGCAGGCCAGAGGAGCGGATGTGAGAGGACTTACCGGAGACAGAGTGGGGAGCAGAACAGGCAAATCCACTGAAATCCACTGCTGAGGGGAGCAGCAGGGAGACAGGAGAGGTCTGCTGCGCCCTGTGGGTGCGCTCCCGGCCGGGGATCAAACGCGTGCTGCAGAGGCTGCCGACAGCTTCACAGCGCTGGCTTAACCTGCGCCACCGGGGAGGCCCGGCTGCAACTGCTTTGCAGTCTCTCTCTGCCCACTGGCTGGCCTCTCTTCCCGGCCGCCTTTCCCCCCCCCCCACCATGGGCCGCAGGAGGTCCCTGCCGAGCTCACTCCCACCGTCCCACCTCTTGTCCCGCCTGCTCACCCGCATCGTTTGTCTCCAGGTCACTAATTCTCTTCCGCCGAGTCCATTCAGCTGCCAGCCACAACCACTGCAGGTTCCGTTACTGGTGTTTTCCCTTCTAGTTCTCTTTGCCTTTACAAATCCACCCTGGTACTTTTCAAGTCTCTGTTCCCCGGACATGTTTCCAAGCGTGCCCTGGATTTCCTTACGTGGTGGGCACAGCCGGCCCGCAGCCTGGGTCAGGGAGTGCCATCACGTGGGGCTGCACGACCATCTCAGTTCCTGCCCGTGCAGCCTCGGTTTTTTGTGTATCTCAGGTGCCCTTGAGGAAGTCCTTGTGGGGGTTCTGCAGGGCCTAGGATGGAGGCCCCTCCTCCAGGGAGGCTGCGTGTCTGCCTTTTCCAGGTGCTAGCTTGGCCTGGTGCTTGCCCTGAGGGTCCCTGGCCCAACCAGCTATGGCAGCTCAGGGGTGGGTGTGCCTCCGGACGGTAACCTGAAGAAGGGTGGGCCTTCGTGGGGGCTGCAGCACCCCCCACTTTACCTGCCTCTGCAGCAGGGGCCAGGGCTGGCAGGCTCCCCTCCCCCAGGAGCAGATATGCCCCAGGAAGCAGCTTCTCCAAGCCAGGAGGGACTGTGAAGAGGCTGGGGCCTCTTTGGGATCCAGTCTCCTCATGGGCAGATGGGGGAAAGCAGCCCACACCAAGCTGGGGGGAAACTGGAAGGGTCTGTGGAATCAGAAGCACCCAGCCCTGTACAGCTGGGGACCCTTAGGGCTTTGCACCCATGGTCCCAGGGGGAGCCTCAGTTTCAGGGTCCTTGTCACCTCAGAACATAAATACCCCCCAAGGTGGCCTCCAGAACTCACAGAGCCATCCTGCCATGGCCACTGGGCCTGGAGGCTCTGGTCGGTTTCCCCGGACCAGCAGGCCCCTACCCAGGGCTGGCTGGGGTGGGGGGCTTCTTTAGCTACGGAGCTGGGGAGGCCCGGAGGACAGGTGACCTGACCACACAGGTGGGGAGGGTTGGGGCTCCACCCCATGGCCTGGGCCTGGCACCCGGCCCTCCGGGCAGCAGTTTCCTCCACCAGATGGTAAGGACCCCAGACGAGGGTCAGAGTCTGGCCACGCCCAGCTGCCCACTCGGACGTGCGCTGCCCCTGAGAAGAAACAGTTCTGTGGCACCAGGCCTGGCTCAGATGGCACAGGTGAGGGTAAAGGTGAGCTCTTAGCCCCAGGAAGGTGGGTGGAGGACACAGCCTACACTTCCTTTTCATTCCTGCTGCGCACTTTCTAAATTTAGTTTTCTTATTTTAAAATTGCAAATGGTGAACTCTGAGACACCTTGCTGAGGATCGTGAGGCTTCCAGAGCCGCTCCAGAAGCAGGCGTGTGGAAGGAGACAGAGGCAGGTTCAGAGTACACTTGCCACTCTTCCTGAGAAATGCCTCAGCCAGCTGGTACCTGCTGGGCACTGAGCTGAGAATTCACATCCACAGAGGGCTCCCCAGGCCCAGGCAGCTCAGGGCCCCGGGTGGTGAGGGTGACAGCAGGGGGCACGGACTTGGAGAACAAGACTGGGGTGTTTGCCCCACACAGGCACGCACAGCTCAGCGCAGCGGGCGAGGAGCCAGGGGCCCCAGCTGACAGGAATGAGCAGCCGCGTATGGCGGGGGTGGGTCCACTGTGCCCCACAGGCTTCCTGAGATAGACCTAACACCCGACAGCCCCTGGGGACCCCGTCATCTGGACCAGCTGGTGGCTGACCCCACCTCAGGCTCCCACCGTTCTGTGTCCAGAACCCCAGCGTCCCAGGAGTGGGGAGAGAGATGAAGCTGCCACATGTATTTGTCACTGAAATGACCCCAGAAATAGCAAAACATATTTATTGGGTACCCCCAGCCCCTCCAGGTGCTGTCGCCAACGCAGCTCTCACAACCCTGAGACAAATGCATTTCTGTCCCCATTTTACAGATGAGGAAACTGAGGCCCAGAGAGTGGTGGAGGCAGCTCCCACCACGTCTGACCCCAAGCCAACCTCAGTGCTTACCCCACCCACCCGGAGGAGCAAGGGGTGGGCGGCCCAGCAGTGTCCAGACAGTCCCCCGGGGGACTCAGTGCCAGATCTTAATGTCACCCTCCCAGGAGCTGGTGGCCAGGACGGAGGGCAGCACGGGGTGGAAGGTGGTGCCCACGCAGGCCTGGGTGTGCGAGTGCAGCGTGCGGGCCCGGCTGGCAGTGCGGAAGGTGTAGAGCAGCACCCGGCCGTCCGCGCTGCCCGTCACCAGCAGGTCGCCGTCGGGGGAGCACTCGCAGCCCACAGAGTAGCCTTCCACCTGCAGGGGGTGACAGCTCATGAGTGCGGGGTCCCCCGGGGGCCTCACCGAAGTGGCGCCCGCCCCTCCTCCCACCCCTTCCGAGGAGCGAGGAATGGCAGGCTGAGGCCAGGGGAGGCAGGGGCAGAGCTCCTTCCCGAGGAGGGGCCGCAGGAACCCGTTGTCCAGGCTGGTGTGTGGGATCCAGCGGGAACAGGCCCATTGAGCCGAGCTCCTGGCCTCACCATTGTCTCCCGGTGAGGCAGGCTCCGCAGGGAAAGCGGGAGGTGCAGAAATGCACCCCATTCTGCCCTGTCCCTGCTCTCTATCCCCGTGACCTGTCCATGTGAGCTGACAAGTCGAGGACATTTCCCACCCAGCGCCGGAGCCCGGGGGTGAGCGGGCTGTGGCCGGGGCCTTGCATGGATGCCAGGGCAGGTGGGAACACTTGCCTGGGAACCGAAAACAGAATCTCCCCAGACTGAGGAGCCTGCACCCGGGGCCCAAGTTCCCACTGGGCTCGCCTTGGGGAGCTGCCGACCCCGTGGCCGTGGTGTTACCTTGTGGCCCTCGTAGCGCCGCCTCCTGCTCATCCGGTAGGGCCACACGGCGGAGAAGAGGGCCAGGTAGTTGCCGTTGGTCTGCGCCAGGAACACAGGCTCCCGCGGGTGCAGGGCGAGGCTGGGGCAGGTGTACCTCTCCTGAGAAGCGGGGACCACAGACGGGGCGGGTCAGCCTCCTGCCTCTGACAGACCCGCCCCCCAGCTCTGCTCCAGGGCCTGGGCCCTCCTCCCAGACCCGGCCCAGGGCTCTGTGAGTCTCCTGCTACTGCTGTAACCAAATGTCGCACATTCGGTGGCTTAAAACAACACAAACGCATCCTCTACAGGCAGTGGCGCCACAGTGGGACTCGCTCTCCCTGGGGTAATCAAGGCGCGGGCAGTGCTGCGTCCCTTGCGGAGGCCCCAGCAGGGATCCGCTTCCTTGCCCCTTCCAGCTCCTAAAGACCCCGTGTCCCCCGGGTCTGGGTGCGCGGGCAAGTGGCCCGCCAAAGTAGACGCGCATCCCCGCGACGATGTCACCTACCGCAGAAAGTAAAGTGGGGCCGGAGGGGGGCGCGCAGGGCTTGCAGATGGGATTAAGGATCTTGACATGGAGGCCCCTTAAAGGCACCCTTCCAAAGGGCACAGGGATGCTAAGACCCGGGGGACGTAGGGGCAGAGGCAGATCTGAAGGTGCCGGTGAGGGCCAGGGGAAGGGGATCACCAGCCACATCTCAGCAGCCGCGAGGAGCAAGGGGCCCCCAAAGCCTCCGGGGGGTGCACACCTGGAAATACTTAGATTTCAGCCCAGTGACACTAGGAACTTCTGGCCTCGAACTGCGAGTGAGTAAATTTCTGTTAATTCACTGAACTGCTGGTAATTTGTTAGAGAGGGAAAGAAAACGAATCCACAGGTGCATCTCCCCACCTCCACAGCGAGCCCCTGGGGGGAAGCCCTTAGCCCAGCCCGGAGTCCCCCACAGCAAGGGCACGGGAGGAAGGAGGTGCCCTGCCAAGCGAGAAGGTGAGCCCATGATCCAGGTCCCAAGCAGGAGGCCAGAAGCCGCCTGTCTGACAGGCTCCGTCACACAGAAACACCCTCTAACAGCTCCTTCCGCTGCGGCTGTGCCCTCCTTTACTCTGGGTGCTGTCCTGAAGCCACACTCTTGAAATGAGTCAACTCAGAGGCCCAAGGGCTCCCCACTGGGCACCGGCACAGGGTGAGGAGGTGGGTTCCCAAAGGGCCAAGGGCGCAGCATGGGCACAAGCGGCTGCCTCCACCCTCCTCCATCTCCGCGAGGCTGCTGGAGCAGGATGCCCCTGGTGTTCAGCGGAGGGAGGGTGGGGAAGGTCCTGGTGCCTGCGGATAACCCACTTCTGCAGCATTCTCTGTGCTAGACCCTTTATAAACACAATCTCTTGATTCACACCTCTATGAGGCAAGTCACGTACTTAATTTTCTAAGAAAATGAGAATTAAAGAGGCCAAATAACAGCAGGGCTCCCAGCTTGCGAGTGGTTAATCCAGGACTTCAAAACAGGTGGTTCCAGGTCAGAGGCCCTGGTGGAAACTCCCAGATCGCAGTGCCTGCCCAGGCCACCAGGGATGGGGGCGGGGGGGCGCAGTATCAGAGGCATAAACATCTTCCCACTGACCTAAGTGAACTGCCCCACCACACCCCTACCCTGCAGGGAGGGGCGGAGGGCAGTGCAGGAGATGCTGTGGCCTGGGAGCCTGCCGAGGGCATCGGCAGGCCTGGGCCTGTGCTTTGTCTACCCCGACCTGCGAGATTTCTGGTGGCCACTCGTCGCCAAGTGCTGCCTGCGGGAAGTGACCCGGGACCCAGCCTGGCTGTGTGGGGGCATCCTGGGAAGGGAAATGAAAGCAACGGCAAATAGGGCTTCTCACATGGAAAATCTGGTTGGAGATTTTGGCCGAGCTCCGGAAATCCCAGGCAATGATGGTGCGGTCGGCGGAGTCTCGGCTCGAAGCATCTGTGCTGCTGAGAAACTCGGAGCCTTCCTGGAGGAAGAGGATGTCCAAGGTCTGCTGAATGGTGGCCTTGTAGCTTTTCACCACCTGCAAGAAAGGGCTCCCATCACGCTGCTGGCCCCCCAGTCCCAGGTGCCACAGGGAGGACCCGGGAGCCCACCCAGAGGGCAGTGCTAGACAGGGCGCACCCAACTTAGGCTGAGCACCTAAGTTGCGGTGCTGGGAGCCAAAGCAGGGAGATGTAAGGGTCATCCCAGCCCAAAGACAAGTATCTGTCTCCCCAGGACCTGCTCCCTGAAACCTCTCAGACCTAACAGACCCTTCAGCAGCCACCACACAGCCACAGACATGTGGGCCCAGGGAGACAGGACAATCTCCTGGGCGATATGGGTCCCCCAGAGAGCAGTGGCTTCCCTCCATGAAAGCTGGGGGGGGGGTGGGTCCCACCTGTGTGGGGGGGCCTGCAATCATCACCAGTGTTGTGTTTCCTGAGAGGATCTTGCTCCTAAAGATGTCACCTAATTCACAGCTCACAACATCCCAGACCTGTCCCTGGAGCAGCAACTGGAATGTAGCGAGCAAGTAAGCTCGGAGACCCCAAAGCCAGACCTCGTAAGCACATGCCTTAAAGACACCTTCACATCTTCGCATCTCCACAGCAGCGCACAGCCCCTGGGGGGAAGCCGGCTTTATTAAGCATCGGCTGTTCCACTTTCATCAGGGCTGTGAACACACGCACGCTGCATTCAAAACAAGCGAGCACCTACACGTGCAGAGGCAAGGACTGGTGGCTTTAAAGTGAACAGGGCCACGGTCAAATGGAGCCTCCAGATCATAAACAGGGGAGCGGAAGGCGGCCCTGAGCTGCTGGCGGGAGCGGCCGGGGGCTCGGCCCCGTGGGCTCATGAAGCTGGCGCCGGGAGGCTGTGCAAACCACCCTTCCCTGGTCGGTGCTTCAGTGGGGACTGGCTGCCTTGGGGAGCTGGATGGTACCTGCAGTCCCAGAGTAAAGATCAGAAGCAGCACTAAAGATGTTAGTGGTTTCTTAACTCACTTACAAAAAGAGGATTTCTTCACTGTAGACTACCTGCCTGTGTGTCTGTCCCTTCAACAATACGAGTAAGACTTACTAAATAAAACACAGGCAAAATTAACAAGATAAACTACAAGGTCAGCAACAGGCGGGTGCGGGGTGCCGTGGCCTCCACCTGCCCGGGCCTGGGCCTGGCCGCCCTTCCCAGCTCCCAGGGCGCCACCATGTGGCCACAGCCCAGACGCCGAGCTCCCCTCCATGCCAGCTGCCAAGTGGACAATCTTGACAACTGCTTTCTTGACAACCGAGTTGATAACCTTTCAGATTGTGCAGATTTGCCCTTGGATCATTCTCTTTCCGACGAACCAAATAAATTCGCCTGGAAGGCAGCGCCCCTTCAGCGGTGTTTTGAGACCCATCCCCTGGATGAGGACAGTGAGGCTCAGAGAGACTAGGGATCGGCTCTGGGAGGCAAGGCCAGGATACACTCACCCCTGCTGCTGCCCCAGGGCCCACACAGCTCTCCCAGGCCAACTCCTGCCGCGCTCAATGTTGGGACAAGGCCCTGGGGGCAAGTGGGCGGCCAATGGCTACTCTTCCCCGAGTCTCTCAGGAGCAGCCCTGGACTGGTAGGATTCAGGGCAGGGTGCTGTGGCTGGAGGAGTGGTCTGGACAGAGGGCAGCCCCACAGACCTCTGAGCACAGGCCAGACAAAAGGTCCACCCCTCGTTGGTCAGCTGGCACCACTCCCCAGGCAGCGAAGGGCACTCGCTCCCTGAAGCCCGCTGCCCTCCCGGGCAAGCCCGAGTCACACAGAGCCTGGGGGGGGGGACACAAAGGTCTACATCCCACATTGTGCCCAGTCTGGGCCTCAACACCACAGCAGCCCCACACTTGCTCTGCCCGGCCCGCACTCCAGGCCAACGCAAGGGCAGCACTGCCCACGGCGGGTTTGGAGCCTCTGTGAGGGAGCAACGTGCTGTCCCGCTCCCCTTCTCCAATGCCAGACCCCCTCTCTGGCAGACACACTCCCCCCAGCCACCCCACCTCCATGTGCTGAGGCCTCGTCTTCCTTCCCTTTTGTCCAAAGAGCCATCTCCACCAGCACAACTCCACTCAGGTGGAGGCCCAGGGAATCCAGAGATGGAAGTGCCACGCGCCGGGAAGGAGGAAGCACACAGATGCAGTCAGAGCCTCAAGCGCTGCTTCTCCCTGGGGGCACAGGCACCCCGGGGGCCCACCAGCTTATACAGAATGGTGGCTGGTGGGCATCCCGTGCCCCAGGCAGTTCAATCCCCACTACCTGAATGCCGGTAAGTGCCATCCACTAGCTGGGCATCTCACACACCTGAGCTCAGGTGACAGCCAGCCTCAGAAGCCAGGCCCCTCCTCACCTGGCCCAGCAGAACACGCTGGCGGCCCCCACGCCACCTGCCTCCCAAGACTTTCCAGGAGAATGAAATCCGTCGTCCTCTGTGTTTCCCGAGCATGGACATCAGTGGCCCAATTCATCAGGGTGTCATAAAATCAAAGGTCCGGGAAACAAGCCATGTGACGGGTGAGCCTGCCAAAAGCGCCGCTGCAGTGGAAGGTGATGGTTGAGGGCTGGCCGCCGACAACACCTGCTGGTCTTCACAGCTGCCTGCGCCCCAGGAAGAGCAGCGGAGCCATCACTGTGTCGAGCTGGTGGGTTCTATGCACCTCAAATGCCCCAAGTCAGGCAGAGCCTGGGCACAGCCCATCCCTGGCGTGGAGCCAGATAAGCAGGGGCCCCCTGGGACTCTTGTGCCACCAGGGGCCTTGGTGGGTAAGCAGCTGCCTAGTCGAAGGCTTACAGCTATAGGGAAAGCAGAAACCTGACATGACACACCCACCTTTGTGGTCCCCAGACAAACTGGAGTGTCTCTGCTTTTCCTTCCAGGGTCCCTGCCACTCCAAAGTGCGTGGGCACAGCCGAGCACAGGCTCGGCTGCAGTCTGCCCAGCCCAGCACAAGGCGGGCCCAAGGGTAGCTCCTCTGTGGACCCAGGTTTTGCACCATCAGGGCAGGGCGGTGGACCAGACAGTGGAGCACTACTGGAAGCCAGGGAGAGCAGGACCTGGGGGTCTCAGGTCCCCACCTCACCCCACCCCACCACCCCTCTCACCCAAACCTGCAGGGAGGCAGGGGAGACAGTCCTGCACCCTCACGGGAGCCTGAGCTCCCTCTGCCACCCGCCTGGCCGCCAGTCGCCTTTCCAGGACCCCGCCAGCATGTTGCAGTTCCAGGCAAACATGTTAACGACTGGATCCATGGGTGCCTGGAACCACAAGCGGATGGATGAACCACAGGGAACTTGAAAAGAGGCAAACTCGAGGCCTGCAGCTCCCAGCACCTGCTGGCCATGGAGACGAAGAAAGCCCCAGGGCTGGAGGGGCTCTGAGACGATAGCAGGTGGAAGGAGGAGCAAGGACACGCTCAGGCCACTTCATCACCAGACATCCGGATGCTGCGGGGCTGTAGTTCTCAGGCCACGCCACAGGCCCCACCTGCCTGTGCGGAGCTGGCTGTGAGGCTCTAGGCAAGCAGACCGCCCCTTTGGGCTCCAGTCTCCACACCTGCAGGGTGTGCAGTAGTAGGAGTTTGGGGCAGCACACAGAGGCGACGGGCCTGCCTGCAACCCTCAGGCAGCAGATGCTACAACCTCTTCTCCCTGCAGAGCTGCAGTGCCCAGCAAGGAGCCCTTGGCCCAGCCCCTTCTCTCCAGATCTCAGCGCTCCTCCCTAAGAACAGGAGCCAGGAGAACACGCATCAGGCAACTGCAGGGAGGAAAAGGCCCTTTTTGTGGTTTAAATCCATGCATTAAAGTAGGATCACTAAGGATGGTGTGTCAAGAGCTCTGCTAATAAACTCAAAAGGGAGCTGAAATTTACATTTTACAAAAGAAAACTACAAATATAAGAAGAAAACATGGACATTTTCTATAAACATGGACATTTTCTAGGACTGGGAGGAACTTTCCCAGCTATGACTCCAAGGCCAGACGATAAAAGACAGGTAAACCTTACTTCATGAAAACAAGAATAAAATCAATGACACTATTGCATGACATGAAAAGCAAGGAAACAAAGTAAAAAAGGCAAACAGAAGAAATACTGGCAACTTGTGTCAGAAGTGACTGTGACTACCCTGATCGCGGGCAGCTTTTGAATGAAGGTCCACAGAAAACTGGCAAGAACTGGACATAACAGAGTTAAGGTCAAGTTTCTTATATACAGGAAGAGAAACAACATGGCTTGAAACTAGACTTTTAAGATAAAGAGGTATATTATAAATTCTAAAGAAACCACTAAAAAATACACAGAACACAAAACCACAGCTAATGAAGCAACAAAAGAGATAAGGTGAAACCCCCCCAAAACATTAAATAAATCCTAAAAATACTAAATCAATACGAGAGAAGAGAGGGGGTCAGAAAAAAAAACACACAGAACAAATAAAAATCATAAAACAGATGGGAGATTTAAACCTAGCCACATGAATAATTACATTAAAACAAGATAAACACATTAGCTCAAAGGAAAAGGCTGTACAGCTTTCTTTACTATCTGAAAGCAGAAAGCATGATATGATTTCACAGGTTATCTTGGGGGTCTGGGGATGCTCAAAATTGCTTCCATATAAATTAATGGTGATAGCATTTCCAGATTCAAAAACTAATTTCCAAATAATACCAAATAGGGAATTTGTATATAGGATTAAAATAAAAGATCACGACCCAACAAATGTTGCCTCCATAAAACACATTTAAAGACAACAAACAGATTAAAAGTTTTTTTAAATGGGAAAAGACATGCCTGCTAATAGCAATCAAAACAAAACAAGAATGTCCATGTTAATAAAGGAGTAGATCTCAGAATAAAGAATATTCATGGATGAAGAGGGTCTTTTCACAATGACAAAAGAGTTAATCATCAGGAGAATTCAATAATCCTAAATGTTTATGTACCTTATAACATAGCTTCAAAATACACGATGGAAGTACACTGAGCTCCATAGAGACAGCGCCGGGGCACGTGAGAGCCGAACAGGCACTGGGCAACTCAGTGCCTCGCTGAGGAAAAGTAATTAAACATGGGCAAGGGTGATCCTAAGAAGCTGAGAGGCAAAATGTCATCATATGCATTTTTTGTGCAAACTTGCCGAGAGGAGCACAAGAAGAAGCACCCAGATGCTTCAGTCAACTTCTCAGAGTTTTCTAAGAAGTGCTCAGAGAGGTGTAAGACCATGTCTGCTAAAGAAAAAGGGAAGTTTGAAGACATGGCAAAGGCGGATAAGGCCTGTTATGAAAGAGAAATGAAAACTTATATGCCCCCTAAAGGGGAAACAAAAAAGAAGTTCAAGGATCCCAATGCACCCAAGAGGCCTCCTTCGGCCTTTTTCTTGTTTTGTTCTCAGTATCGCCCAAAAATCAAAGGAGGACATCCTGGTCTATCCACTGGTGATGTTGCAAAGAAGCTGGGCGAGATGTGGAGTAACACTGCTGCAGATGACAAGCAGCCTCATGAAAAGAGGCTGCTAAACTGAAGGAAAATACGAAAAGGATATTGCTGCATTCCGAGCTAAAGGAAAGCCTGCTGCGGCCAAAACAGGGGTTGTCAAGGCGGAAAAGAGCGAGAAAAAGAAGGAAGACGAGGAGGAAGAGGAAGAGGATGAGGAGGAAGAGGAAGAGGATGAAGATGAAGAAGAGGATGATGATGATGAATAAGTTGGTTCAGTTTTTTTTTCTTGTCTATAAAGCATTTAACCCCCCTGTACACAACTCACTCCTTTTAAAGAAAAGAACTGAAATGTAAGGCTGTGTAAGATTTGTCTTCAAACTGTACAGTGTCTTTTTTTGTACACACTACCAAATGCGTCTTTAGATAGCCCTGTCCTGGTGGTACTTTCAGTAGCCACTCACCTTGCCTGGTACAGTATGGGGGTTGTAAATTGGCATGGAAATTTAAAGCAGGTTCTTGTTGGTGCACAGCACAAATTAGTTATATATGGAGATGGTAGTTTTTCATCTTCAGTTGTCTCTGATGCAGCTTATACGAAATAATTGTTGTTCTGTTAACTGAATACTACTCTGTAATTGCAAAAAAAAAAAAGTTGCAGCTATTTTGTTGACATTCTGAATGCTTCTAAGTAAATACATTTTTTTTATTAAAAAAACAAAGTACACGATGGAAAACGAATAGAATTTTAAAAGGAAATAAGACAAACCACTCTTATAGGCAGAAATTTTCAACCAACTGCTCTCAACCAAAAGAACAAACATACATTAACAGAAAGGCTACAGATTTGAATAACACCTCCAACAACTTGATCTAATTAACGTTTATAGAACATTGCACCCAGCAATAGTAGAATACGATCTTTTAAAGTACACACAGAACATTTTCCAAGATAGACCACATCTAGGGCATCAAACAAGTCTTAATACATTTAAAAGGATTAAACATATAAGGTATGTTCTGTGACCACACAATGAAGTTAAATTAGAAATCAACAACAGATCATTGGAAAATTTCCAAATACTTAATAGCACACACCTAAATAACCCTGCATCAAAAAGAAATAAAAAAGACAAATAGAAAACATATTAACTGAAAAATGAAAAGCAAATATCAACAGTTGTGTTATGCAGTTGCAAAACTAGAGGAAAGTGTCTCCTTGGTGGCGGAAGAGGTTAAGTCTCAGCACTATGAAGCTATCCGCAGCCTCTGGAGCATGAGTTTGGTCCCAGGTCAGGAAGCTGACCCACATGGTGCAACAGACCTCTCCTGTCTCTCTGCTGCTCCGCTCAGCAGTGTTATTTCAGTAAATCTGCCTATTCTGCTCCCCGCTCTGTGTCTGGTGAATCCTCTCACCCCCCATACCTCTGGCCTGTACCCCAGTTCTTATATGCATAAATAAATAAATCTTTAAAAAAAAACTAGAGGAAAAATAATGGCACCAAACGTCTGTAACAGAAAAATTTCTTAAAACATTGACCTCAACTTTCACTTTAAGAAACTTGAAAAAGAAGATAAAATTAAACACAATGTTGAAGCAGAGGAAATGACTAGGAAATCATTTATTTTTTTAAAGATTTATTTTTTTATTTACACAAGAACTGGGTTACAGGCCAGAGGCGCAGGGCAGGTGAGAGGATTCACCAGAGACAGAGTGGGGAGCAGAACAGGCAGACTGACTGAAATACACTGCTGAGGGGAGCAGCAGATGAGACAGGAGGTCTGTCCCGCCATATAGGTATCTCCCGGGCCAGCCGGGAATCGAACCTGCACTGCAGAGGCTGCGGACAGCTTCACAAGCGCTGCGCCACCTGGGAGGCCCCCCCCTTTTTTTAAGGAAATCAATTATTTTTTAATAGAGAAAAACCATCACAACCAAATTCTAGTGCTGTGAAAAGATCAACAAGTTGACAAACCTCTAGCCAGACTGATCAGAGGAAAAGGAGAAAAGATAAAACCTACCAATATCAGGACTGAAGGAAATGAGGTAATATCATTACAAATTATATGGCTATAAAAAATAAAAGTATCATTAAAATCTCTGTCATAAAGTTAGATAACTTTGATGAAAGGGATATATTTCCTACAGGACATAAACTACCGAAGGTCACTCAAAGACAAACAGAAAATTGGGATGACCCTCTACATACTAAATAAATTTTATTTGAAGTTTCAAATCTTCTCACAAGAAAATTTCAGGCCAACATAGCTTTACTCGTCAATTCTAGCAAACATTTTTCCAGCAACACTAGACAAACTGTTCCCAGAAATGGAAGAGAAAGGAACACTCCCCAGTTCATTCTAAGACTCCAGAATTGCCATGACACCAAACCCAAAGATTTACAAGAGATATTAGATATCCCTTGTGGACACAGATGTAAAAATTCCTAACACATTTTAGCTAAGAGAATCCCAAATTATGTAAAAGATAATATCTCATGATCAAGTGGGATTTATCCCAGGAATGCTAGGTAGTTTTAATATTGGACATCCACTGACAAAGTCCACCATATTAACAGAACAAAAAAGAAAAATCATATTATCTCTTCAATAGATGTGAGAAGATATTTGATCCAATAGCCATTCATAAAAATTCTCAAATTGGCACTAACAACGAGTGTCCCCACCTTCTACTTAAAAGACCACAGTTCACAAACAGCTGTGAAATGACTGGGACGAGGCAAGGACGTGTCCTTGCACCACTTCCAGTCAAAAGTGTTGTAGAAGTTCGAGCCTGTGCAATATAAGGTGCAAGGAGAGAGGGCGGAAGAGAGGCAAGAAGGAAGAAATGGCATCCAGACCTGAAGGAATCGAAGCTGCCTTTGCAGAGACAGGGTCATCTTTAAAGAAAATCCAACCGGATTTTCTAGCAGCAGCTAGAACTAATAAATGAACTTAACTGAGTTGCAGAGTTCAAGATAAATATACAAATACCCATTGTACTTTTAAATAATAACAATGTATGATCAGAAATTGACATTTAAAAATGTTACTTACAGAGAAATCTAATAATGTAAAAGGAGCTATATAATGAAAATTGCAACAGTGGTGAGAGGAATTAAAGAAGATTCATAATAAATGAACTATTACTGAAACAAACAACAACATGGCTCGATCCACAATTATGCTGGATGGGAAAAAATCCAAGCAAAAATAGTCATGCCATAAGATTATATTGATACACAAAAATTCTAGGAAATGAAAACTAACTTATAATGGCAAGGAACAGATTGGTGGTTACCTGAAGACAAGTGTGTCATGGAGGGGCAGCAGGGGGAGATTACAGAGTAAAAGATGACAAAAACACACAGAAACTTCTGGAGGTGATGGGTGTATTATCTGGACTGTGACGATGGTTTCATGGAGGTGTGTATGTGTGTGTGTATATGTAAATATGTTTGTATATGTATATATGAGTATACACACATACATACATGCATGCACATATGTCAAAACTTATCAAACTATACACTTCAATTATGTGCAGCACATTGGATGTCAATTATACTTCCATACAGGCATTTAAAAAGAGCAGGATATGGGCCTCCCCGGTGGCACAGCAGTTGAGCCCTTCCCATTGAGAAGCTGCCCGCAGCCTCTGCAGCGCTGGTTGGATCCCCAGCCGCCGGGTGAGGGTCCCACATAGCGCGCAGACCTCTCCTGCCACCCGCTGCTCCCTTCAGCGGTGTACCTCATCAGTCTGCCTGCTCTGCTCTCCGCTCTGACTCTGGTGAATTCTCTCACCCTCCCGTGCTTCTGACTGTACCCAGTGCTTGTATAAATAAATAAAAATAAATAAATCTTAAAAAGAGCAGGATATTGAGATAAAATGAAGCAAAACAAAGACTATTTTGATAAACAAAAACTGAGAGAACTCACCACAGTTATACTAAAGGAAGTTCTTCAAACTGAAGAGTAATGACACCATATTGGCACTCAGAACAATAGGAAGGAACAAAGATCTTACAGTCATTCAAAATAATGATAATTTTGAGGATAATTTTAGGACAGCATGTTTGACAACTTAAATGAAATGGGCAAGTTCCTTCAAAGAAAAAAGTTATAAAAATAATTGAAAAAAATAGATCACTCAAATAGCCACACACACCCTTCAAAAAATGTTTATAATTAAAAACCTTCCCAAAAAGGGCCTCTCCTGTGGCACAGCGGTTGAGCGCTGGGTTGCGAAGCTGCCCGCGGCCTCTGCGGCGCCGGTTCGATCCCCGGCTGCTCCCCAGCCACCAGAGGAGGGTCCCACATGGCGCGCAGACCTCTCCTGCCGCCCGCTGCTCCCCTCAGCAGTGTACTTCGGTCCTTCTGCCTGCTCTGCTCCCCGCTCTAGCTCTGGTGAATTCTCTCACCCTCCCGTGCTTCTGACTGTACCCAGTGCTTGTATAAACAAAACAAACAAACAAACAAATAAATAAATAAAACATGCCTCTATTAAAAAAAAAAAAAACCTTCCCAAAAAACACCTGGTCTGGATGTCTTTCTTGGTGAATCCATCAAACATTAAGGGGAAAATAACACCTACCCTACACAAACATTCAGAAAATATATGAGGAGAAAACATCCCTCAATTCATTTTTTTTGAAGACAAAATTAACCTCACACCACAACTAGAAGAGACAACAAAAGATTATAAACCAATAATCCTAATGAATATAGATATAAAATCCTTAACAAATTATAAGCGACTAGAATTAGCCATGTAGTAAAAGGATAATAAAGACATCATATGTTATCAAGTAATTATCCTACATGAGAAACCCATCAGGCAGGATTTCTCCCACATACGCATATTTCATTTCATTTTTTAAATCAATACAACTCACCAAACACACTAAATATAAGGAAATATAGATGCAGTAAAATCATTTGATAAAATTCACCACCAATATATTTGAAAAAAGCCTTCAGAGAAAGTAACTTCCTTAACCAATCTAAGACATCTATGAAAAATCCACATCTAGCATCATTCTTAATAGTAAAAAACAAAATGCTTCCCCTAGAAGATCAGGAACAAGACAAGAATGTTCACTGTCACCACCCTTATTCAGTTTTAGCAATTTCAATATAGCAAGAAAAAGAAATAAAAGAACATACTTTGTAAAAGAAGCTATAAAACTATTATTCTCAAACAACATGCTAATGTACAGGCAAATTTCTAAGTAACTTATGAAAAAGCCATTAGGACTAACTAGTGAAT